TGTCTGTTCTGTTCCCAGTGAATGTCTTTCGGCCAAAATTTGCTGCAGCTGGTCTTCGACAAATTTGCGAAACGCGCGACTTGCGAGTTTTTTTTAAATTCGGCTTTATTTTTGCTGCTTGTTGGATCAGGGCCTAAAAGGTCAATGCCGATAGAAAAATTGGGCAGTTCTTTGCTGGTTTCTTCCGTATTTTAAAGAGTAGGAAAAGTGCACTGCAGCTTAAAAGTCGACAACTTTGCAGCCAAGTAAAAAAAAATGCTCACGTCATCCTATTTACGCACGGTCGTGCGTAAATAAAGATTTTGTTCATAGCGGCTCAATAGGACTTATATAGATCGTTTTCACTGTCACGCAACAAAAAAATAAATTGGAAACCGTCCAGTGGAAGAAGCCAAGAAAATGAAATGTTGTAGAAGACTAATATATAAACAATTTGTCCAAGTCTAAGGTCTTTGTGGCCCACAGTTTCTGAATTATTTGCCGAAACGTTTCACGCACCTTTGTAGAGCTTTGTATGGAGACGTCATATTAGTGCACCGTTGTGGTGCACCAATATGGCGGCGGAAATCAACAAAAAAAATCTGGAGTTCACTTTTTCTACAAAAGCTCTTTCTTTTCACTCGAGAACTGGCATACGTGCACATAAACATACATTCTAACACTTGAAATGGTTATACTGCTGAAAATCAAGAGGACAGACTTTTTTTTCAACGAGACAGCATTCCTATTTTGGTGTCACGCGCTGTGAAAACTCGAAAGTTCAAATTGCTGTATTTTCGAAATGAAACATGCTACAGGACTGGAAATTTGTACAAAGATTTATTTTTTGTTTATTTTTAACCTAGTGTAAATAAGAATTCGTAAAACCTCGCCATTTTGACTTTACAATTTGAAGACGTCACATTGAAAACCATCTATAGGGCAAGCACGCGCGCTATGTTATAATATAGTTTTTTTTCATGTTTTTTTTGTTGTTTTTCTTTTCTTTTCTTTTTTTTTTTTTTATTTTAACAAAATTTACTCATTACTTCAATCTCTCTAGCTGTATAAGCTCAGGGGCACCCAGCGAATGGTTTCCTCCTATATACGTTGAAAACACTTTTTACGCTATCCAAAGTACTTTTAGATCTCTAGAAATACATTCTTAAGGCGGCGCTAAAAAAATTTCATCTGTTCGGTCATACTAGGGGACTTCAGGGGCTTCAGAATTATTTTCCCAAAAATTTTCTGGAGAGAGAGAATGAGAATTATTCCGGGAATTCTATCTCAATTACATTTTTGAATCCGAAAGTTTTAGGTTTCCTTTTGCTTCGTAAAACAGCATTACTTGGGGAGTGAAATGTCCAAAATTTAAGCTTCAGAAAATAGTAGGCAATTTATTAGATGAGTTTCGAAAATTGTACATGAATGGAACGGTCATCTAGAAATTTGTAGCCGTCCTCAAGCAAAAGAAAATTCAAGTAGATATTTGCTTCAGCAATCTTAGAACAGATATTTTACAGAAAACAGTCGTTGGGTGCCCCTGTAAGCTAGCTGCTTCTTAGAATACAAATACCCTGCTGAAAGAAACTTAACTTGGTACTGTCCTATTATACTTGCGCAAAAAACGTTTTTCATCGGCTATGGACTAAAACTAATAATCATATTTTCAATCAATCATAAACTCTGTCAACCTAACAAAACGTAAGTCACTGTTACCAACAGTGACCAGTTCATTATCGGGATGTTATTAATGTATAGAATTAGGCAAACCTTAACGCGGAGCTTCTATTAATCTTAAACAGGTACTAATTACGATTACTGCAAAGAACATTATGGAATAGAGACAGAGATCTAGAGGGCCTAGCGAGTCAAAGAAACTACAGTCTGTAATATGACGCATTCCTTGTCAATACAAGGAATGCTGTTTCCATAACACACTCGTACAGAGTAAATACAAGTGAAAGAAATTCTCTTGCATATCAGATGACGATTGATCTGTAGAGGAAAATACCTCCTGATTTCAGTTTCGAATATCTTGAATATATTGAAAATAACTGCACATAAATCACAAAGGAGCAACTCTAAATTTATTAAAGATCAGTAAAATGTCTCTCATGATTCTCTCATACATGCATGTTCTTTGTCGGCAAGCTCATTTGGTAAAAAATGCACTTTTTTAGGTATGCTCATCCTCGTATTCTTCGCGTGTGCTCCAAGTCATTACAAAGTGATGACAGGGTACTTTGTGACATTGAAATATCAGGCAAAACCCAGGACTAGCCTGAAAAGTGTTTGCAGCTTTAAAGTGACTCGATTCTACGTAATTTTGCTTTGCAAATAACACAATTGGGCCTTAGGCACTTAAATTCCATTGAGATAATAGTAGAGCTCAAACAACATACATAATACAAGCTGCGTATCACTAGTCACGTGAAATTTACACAAAGGGATGACATAAAGCACATAATATAAGAACGCATTTAAAGCTTAATAAGGGCCTTTTTACATGGAGGTGGGTGACCCCAGGAAGGTGAGATAATCCGCTTAGGTAGGGCAACCCGCCTGTCGATATAATCCCTCATTTTGATGGGATCACGTTTACACGTTAGGTGGGGTAACCCGCCACATGTTACAACACCTACCTGGGGTCCCCCACCTTCATGTAAACAGGCCTTAAGTGATGATCATGACCACCAATAGATGCGGCTGAGGTCGTAGAATTATAACTGCAGGGTCAGCACCATCTAACGGGATATCCTGCAGGCGAAAGTTTAATGTCGAGTTTCAGCAATTACCGTCTCGATGATAATTCCCTTTTTCGATTAAATATTAAATTAATGTGATAACGTTATTTTATCTTTCCAGAGAGTAAAATTGGAATTGAAATTAAAAAAAAAAAGGTTTCAATTCAAAGGTAAATTTTATTAATCATGATGTCACATTTTTATTTATTTATTTCTAGATCGTTTAGGTATTTCTGACAGACATAAATGCAAATAGCGAACATGGGAATATCCAAAGTGTGCTGTCGATGTTCTACAGAACCAAATTCAGAAGTTCGAACTCCAGTTCTCCGACGTTTTTCCTGTGGAGTAGGAAGCGTATTGAATGAAATCCAAAGCCGGCTTATTTCGTTCCGTCTAGTTTTCTTCATGAATGTCGTAGGACTCTCCGCGACTGAAGCTGGCGTGCTGGCACTATACGGGAAGATTTCCCAGGCCCCAGCCACACCTCTTTGCACGTTTTTGGAAGAACGAATTAAGATCCCATTTTTGTCCCGAAAACTCGGAAGAAGAAAGTCTTGGCATTTCATTGGAACAATGCTGTTAACAATCGTCCTACCACTCTACTTTGGACCTTGTTTTCCTTGTAAGAGTGATGGTGGACATTGGCAACTGATGGTGTACATTCTGACATTGAGCACAGTTCTGTCAACTAGCGTTAGCTTGATAGAACTTGGACATCTGACGCTCATTCCTATTATTGCAAAGAATCAAGCAGAGGCCATTGAACTGACTGCATTAAGGTTTGTTTTCCCTTAACCTGCTGTTCAAATTCACTTTCAATTTATAAAATTTAATGTACTCTTCTACCTATGAATTAAAGCTCTTGCAGAGGTAAAGTGAGAGATTATATTCGTTATTAGAGAGTTGCAATAAGGCATTTAACCTTGTCACCTGTTAGGCCCGGTTCAGACGCCGCTCCACTCATGTGCCGAACCTAACTGATGAATTAAGTACGGCAAAAGAGCGGCGTCTGAATCAATTTGGTACGGCAGTTTTAGTTTGGTGTGGCAAAAGCGTTAAGTTGGACAGAGTCTGTCGAACTTTTGTCGAACTTAACTTAGGTTCGACACACGGTACGCCGTCTGAATCAGATTTCGCCCCAGTATCACTCCAAAGTCGAACTTATTCATTTAGGTTCGGCACATGAAAAGTACGGCGTCTGAACCAGGCCTTAGTAAACTAAATAAGGCCCGGTTCAGACGCCGTACTTTTCATGAGCCGAACCTAATACATTGAATTAGGTACATGAAAAGTTCGGCGTCTGAATCAATTAGGAACGCCTGTTTCAATTTGGAACGGCTCAGCCGTTCTTTTCGCCTAGCCCGGCCGGCAATTTCGCCTTTGGATCGACTTTGGAACGCCTTTGATTCAGACGCCGAACTTTTTATGTACCGAACCAAATGCAGTAATTCTTGTAACGTATTTTGTAACCAGTTTGACCGAAATGCGCGTTTTTCGCCTTCTGAATTTAGTTCTTCTGGAATTAAGATCGGCGTCTGAATCACTTTAGCCGGTCTAAATAATTTGGGTCGGCCTTAATTCGAATTAGGTTCGGCTCATGAAAAGTTCGGCGTCTGAACCGGGCCTAAAATTACAATCGACCCGCTCTCTGTTAAAGGGTCTTCCCCATGTAGCGATCACTTACTAAAGTCAGTTCGACAAAATTGTCAAGAAATCAATGCGAATAAAACCTCTACTAACCGCTTATTGATAAGCCTTAATGATTATTACAAAATTTCTCTTTATATCATTGATGATGTACAATAGCGTGTTTTCATTCACGTGGCCAGCAGCAATGTAAATTTGTTGGGAAAAAACCAAAGTTTTTCCATAAGGAAAAGGTTCACTTTCCTACAGGTTTAATTTAAAAAAAAAAAAAAACACGTCTCTTGCTTTGGACTAGCAATATGGCGGACGTGACGTCATGTAAAAACGCTCTATCAGGGACGGGTAATGATCAAATAAGGACATTATTGCCCAAGAACATTTCTTACGATATTTTAACGAATTGACTCTCCCCTGAATTTTCCTAAAGAAACGTATGGGACAAGAAAGAAGATTTTCTTTGTATTTGTCTGAATATATTGGGTTAAAGATTTAATAGAGGTTAGATGGACCTCAACAAGTTTATCTGTTTTTACTGAGGCGTGCCTAATATGTGACGATATAGTTCTGGCCGGATTTTTGAAAACGTTACTGCCAAATTAAATGGACCTTTCTCCAAAGCAGCCATTTTAAAAACTAAGAGTGCAACCATTGCTTTTTCTCTTCTCCTCCTTTCCTCCTTATCGCACACAGTTTCTTTTGCTCCTTTCCTTTTCGTGTGGTTTTGCAGCTTATCGGGTCCAATTCCAAAAAGCCTTACCTTTTGACGCCTTTTAACTCAAATGACTGCAATTTTTGCTATGGGTTGGTTTTCAAAAAATCGTCTAGAGTTATATGAATGTATTTCTCCCAATCACCTCTTCCTCCCTTCCTCTTAACTTCCGACTCATATGTAATTAAAGCATTTACGATGATTTATCACGTTTTGATACAATATACCTTATGTCATATCACGTGGTTGATTTACAGGACAATGTTTCAGTTCTTGGATGGGGTCGCTACTTACCTTGTCGCTTGGGCAATTTTGGGGCAGGACAGTGCCAGCCAAATTACAGCAGAGAGCTCCATGGGCTTTATGGTAAAAGTTGTTGAATTAACATCAAAAGCACCTCAAAGCTAAGCCAAACATGAATTGTATTTCTTTCCTTTCGAAGGTTTTGACACTTATCATGGTGGGAGTAGGTTTTATTCTGTCTATGATATTTCATGCTGGAACCAAAGAGCCTCCGGAAGTAGTTGTCAACGGGCAGTCAACCAAAAGTGAAGCTATGGTAATGGTGAACTTCTATTGTAGCGACCAATCAAAATCTATCATTCTTTAAAATATCTTTAAAATACGGTTATTCAATTTATAATTGTTGGAGAGCTGTTATCCATTTCACGCAAATGTGCTGATATCTATTTAAATCTAAAATCCCTTTGTTATTTCAAAAAATTATGGAATGTTGTTTTAATTATTATTATTATTTCTTTTTTTTCAGAGGAAGTCTTCTTTTGTTTCTCCATCATACCCCAGTTTACAGTCGATGACATACATGAAAACAGGTGCGCAAGCGCATTTAATTTAACCCATACGTGCGAAATTAGTGGTATGTACATCTGTCTGATTTCGTTAAAACGTGGCCACTGGGTTTTCGCCTGACGCCGGGCGCAGCCCGGCTCCAGGCCAGTCCGGCGGCCAAAAATGTAGGGGGCTTGACGTCTTGGTCGGTACAGCTGGATAGCCCAGAGACTGCCCTAACAGTGGGTGGGTGGATCAGGCCTTGGGGTCAAAACCAGTGGGGTAAGGAGGGGGCAGTTTTGACACAACTCCTTCAGTAAGCAACAGTGTTCAGTGCATGCTTTGACTGGCGAGTACCTTGGTCTTAATTTGCCCTAGCCAGCTGAATTAGGCCTCTGCTGAGAATGATTATCATGATAATTGCAGAGCTCAGTGGGAGGCGCAGACAGTCACCCATTGTCCTGGGTGGGGAGGGTCAAAGTCTTGGTACCAAGGACGCACTTAGCATAGGACCTTTAGACACTCACTGAAGCCATGTTTTCATAAATCCAGTCAGAAATACTAGTTATTCGTTTATACTTTCTTGACCAAAATTGCATGAAAACTGTTCTGTGTTGCTTTCGGGTTTCCAGCAACACCACGAACTAGTTATTAAAACACCTTATGAGTATTCAAACTACTTGTGTCAGCCGAAGTGACATATTAATTTCTTAGCCCTATAAAGTTACAACTTTTAAGACCTTCTGCACAGGTCACCATTATAAGTTTCCTAATTAACCTGTAAATGTTTCTTATAACAAATAAATAAATAAACAGAATGGAATCATGAAATTAATTGCGAGCTGGAGTGATCAAATTGCTCAAATACATTTTGTTTTACTCATCAGAAGAGCCATTTAATTGGTAAATAGTGTTTTAAAAATGATCTAAAAACTATCATTATGCCAATTTTTTCATCACACTTTTTAAAATCCAGTCCAGATTTTTTTTTGGAATTGGCACTTAGACATGAAGTCACTAACTTATCTACTTTAGATTTGTACCCCGCCAAGGAAATAATGCGTGACAGATTCATTGACAGTTTAAAGAAAAAGGGAGAAACAGAATTCGAAGTGGAAAATCATACCAGGAAAAAGAGTTTTGTAAGGCACTTTATCAAGCCCATGTTTTCGGGAGATGAGAACGAGAAGAATGCAGCTGACGAAAGCTCTTCTGGTGAAGATGGATTCAGAGGGACGATTTCCAAAGACTCTTTCGATGAGAATCGGATCGATGATTCGACAGTGTTGAAGATTGTCAAGGAGTTGCCACCAGAGCATAAGATGAGCGTCGTTATGAGTACATGTTATGAATTGGCTGGATTAAAGGAACATTTGCCGATTGTTGAAAAAGGAAGCTGGGGTCTTAAACCTACGGAAATGAGCAATTCCAACGAGAAAATTTGTACAGAAGTGCAAAGCGATCACACCGATATAACTAATGAGTCCTTTGGTAGTGAAACTGAAGTGAGTCCATATCATCTTGACCATGAGACCAGCAAGACTAGCATCGGAGACGATGGTACCTTACCTCAAGCTATAGGAAACAACGAAAAGACTTTAGTTATCTCAGATGATCCTGAATCAGCTCCTCCAGTTGCCCCTGCGCCCAAAACAGTGACAGCCTAGCTCAGGGATCCACGTCTTTACATGGTAATAATAGTCTCTCTCTAAACATCAAGAATTGCTTTAAGTGTTTGGTTGTTTGTTTGTTTGCTTCTTTGTTTTTTTGTTGTTGTCGTTTTTTTTAGTTTGTTTTTTGAAAGTTATAAACCCCTTGATGTTTTGGCCATATTTTCAATCTACTTTTCTAGCATGGACGTACTATAAATGTCAAAACCTCTTAACTGCTAACATACATGCTTATTCTTTATACCATTTCTTTCAGATTAGAAAATACCCATTTTTAGAGAAATAGATGGGAATACCTAAATTGATATTGTCCTTGTTTTTACATAGGTGGCCGTAATATTCTCCTGTGCAAAGGTTTTGCAGGACGTTTGTTTTGCCTATCTACCACTCTTTCTTATTTACAGTGTGAAGTTTGAAAAGGTATTTTAATTAGTACAAGTATTTTTAATAAGTATTTTAATTAGTACAGTAATACAGATCCAAGTTTGATAATATATTCTTCTGATCGAAGACTTTTTGCGTTCTATTACTTTTAGTGACGAGGGATTGTCTTTACAATGATTTACAACTTGGGAGTGCCCCTGGTGTATTCTGGAAATGTCGGGATTTTGCAGTATATTACTTTGGCTATTGTATGGCAGATTGTTGAAAAGTTCATTGTCATTTTCGACGACTAGCTTTGTCATGGTAAATAGGGAATTCTAACTGCTCAAGATTATACTCATGATCATGATCATCACCTCCACCACCACTACCACCACCACCACCACCACCACCACCATCATCATTATCATAAGTATTTCAGTATTAGCATTCGCATTCGCATAAGCATGAGCATAGCATCATTATCATAACAGTCTATAATCATTATCATTCAACCCCCCTCTGTAGGTGCAAATTGTCGCTCGCTAATGCGTACGTCTAAACTAGCCTAATCCGATTTGTTTCAAACTGCCTTAACTGATAGTTGCTGCATATAGCTTGCATTGTGAATGAGCCACACCCTAAAGTAAAGAAACTTCTTATTAATAAATTTGTCTTGACCTTTTTAGGAAGCCATTGCTTATCTGCCACTCATCATGTTGATCACTGGAGCAGTCTCATCAGGAATTTCGAAAAAATTCATTGGAAAAGTTGGAGGCAAGGTAAGTCGAATGAAAACCACCTTTGGTAAAAAAAAAAAGGGGGGGGGGAAGACTTACAAGCCTTAATCCGTTAGACTGATCAGCGCAGTTCTTTAAGATATTAAAGAATGGAAAGGGATGGGATGGATGGAAATAATAAATGGATATAGGTGGCAATTGTGTTAACCATGAATGCATTACATTTTTTAATTTAATTTATTTTTTATCATTTAGTGGTCATTCTCCCTATCTGCTGTATTGGTAATAGGAGTTGGAGTGTGGTTTTATTTTATCACCGATTCCACTAAAGTGATGACATATCTCGAGCATGTTAAGACATGGCCTGAGGCTAATTTGCACAAAATCTTATACTGATCATAACTTTGTGAAAATTTATCAGAACCTTCCAAAATTTGGCAGCCTCGTTGCAGCCTCGGAAAAATCGGTAACCTTGATTTTCCTGTGACGTGAGAAATCAGATATCTATGTCACGTGACTATTTATGGTCGACTCCAGGAAAGAAAAGAAACCGAAAATGGGGTGGCGAGATGCCACACAGTATATATTAAATACAGTATTTTTTGCTATTGTATCATCATTTCTCGCTTGAATCTGGCCGGAATGGTTGACTCACGTTTTTATTTAATAATTAGTCAAGCAAAATAGGTCACGTGACACTTTTCACCTGTTAATATCTTTTCAGAAATTAAAAATTCTCTCCATTTCGGCCACAGAAAAAAATTCGTACTAACGGTAAAACAAACATTTACACATGGTTCAAACTTAGTTGTGATCAACCATTCCTTAGCCCATTTTAAATTTCTTTTTGAATATCATTATGACGTCACGTTTCACGTGACTACATTACTTCAACCCTAATTAATTCAACGCCTTGAAAGAAAGTTTCGCGAAAGTTTTTTGCAACTTTTAGAATTAAAATGCATGGCCGTAGAAGAAAAACAGCTTATCTTAGCGGAGGGTCGAGACCAAAAATTGAGCCATGCCTTAATAACATGATTGAGGTCTCTCAGTCGTGCGTCAAGGGTAACATTTCGATCGACAACTAGTTTTATTTTAATAACTGTCTAGTACACACTTATAAATAAAGAAATGCAGACGCTAGAATGTTCAAAATCTTGTCATGAAACAATTCAAAGATTTGTTAATTTATTTAATTCGGGATTATTGTTTCTTTAATCTTTTCTTTTGTTTTCTTTTTGTGATACATTCTGCTTTGAAAAATCACTTTATACTTTCTTTACATCAGAGCACAAGTGGCGTTGTTTTTGCTGTTATGGGTCGCGGGCCTGGGCAGGGGCAATGTTTCTCGCTATCCAAAGATTCTTTCCCCAAGGAAGGTAAGGAATACTGTTAGTTGCTTCTGTTATCATCGTGTTCCTTATGATATTATTTAAAAATTCCCAGTGACTGGAATCTACTCCAAGAAGTACTTTGATTTTCATTTATAAAGGCGGTGCGTAGTTGAATTTTTCCACATTTAACAGTAGTGTCAGAAGGTATTATACTTCCGTTGCATTAACCTAGTATCTGTAGATTTCGTTTATGTTATACAATGTATAGAAAAACTTATCACGTGATTTACGAACGCTGTCACTTTCTTCGGTCCTGTTTACAAGAAGGGAGGGTAGCCCTGGTGCTAAGGTTACCCAAGCAAGAGGGTTACCCTTGCTATCTAGCACTCGGCGCATTTTTCCTTCTCTACACGACGTGTTTACAAGGCAGGTAGTGTTACCCTAACAAGAGGGTACCCTACCTGCCTTGTAAACGCCCCGCTAAAGACAACTCGCCTACCCGGGACAACTTTGCTCCGTCACAAGTGACCCGTAATCTTGACAATTTGAACGGAATTATCCATTTTCTGAACAATATAAGGTATTTTCTGAATACGATGACAATATTTTCCCGTTTTTTCGTGAATTTAGCGTGAATTCATAGAGAAATTCAAGTTTCATTTCATATCTTGGACTTTACAAAGAATGTCACGCATGACGACGAACAGGTCAGTAAACCTGGTAAAGTTGACCCAGATGATAGGGTAACCCTACCTTTGAAATTTGCTTATAAACCCGGCTATCTTTGACCCGCTTGCGAGGGTAACCCTAGCACAAGGGTAACCCTCTATCCTTGTGAATAAGCCATTATCATGAAAAACTGCTAGTTTGAGTGTCATTGAAAATCAAGTTCATTAAGTCACTTAGAGAAAGCGGGTTACAATGTCAAAGAGTTGTCCAATATCTTAACACGAAGCATGCTTGCTCCTCCCCAAATCAGTTTTGCTTCAGTCTCTAGACAAATTACTATAAACCTATCTCTTGTTGTTGTTATTGTTGTTTTTTTTACATTTTTAAATTTCCCTACGTATACAATGTCAAGCTATTTAAAACAGCTTTTCAGTAATGTCGTCTTTATTTACTTTTTGTAGCAAATCTACAAACTGTGAAGAGTGTGGGGATTATGTACGACACATTTTTTCATTGGTACCAGGGTCTATAGCTGTTATCGGTATCTTGGCCCTTCTGTTGTTCCAAGCACCGCAAACTCAATGCAGGCGAAATGGTGAGTCAGCCATTGCTAGATCTATTTTGCTGATTAGTTAACGTCATATACTGCAGTCGAACTTCTTTTATAACGGCCACCTAGTATTCATCACGGCCATCACTGCACCTGAACGCGGACCACTTGTTTGTGGTCTGTGGCTGATGGAGTCTGTCCATACTTGGATATTGTTTCAACCTGTTAAAAACCGCAACGACTTGTAAACCGTATACGTCTTAACCGACATAGTTACCTCTAAATAGCCATTTACATGCGAAAGATTTGCAAGCTGGGGTTATCATTGTACCTTAATTGCTCGCTTATTTTGGCTGAGAAATTTTTCCGACATTTTCCGACGCGATCACTGATTTCCCCGCGAAACTGGTGAAGCCCATAAATTTCTATAATAATGATGATGTGTCGCTACCCAAATCTGACAAGTACTTCGGATTGGTTGAAAATTTGCTTCATCCAATCAGTGAGACGTACCACCCAAATGTGGGTAGAGACACGTCATCATTATGGAATTGCTGCGGTGCTCTGCCTCAGACGTCATTTCGCGGGGAACCAGTGGTGGCGTAGCGAAATAACGGCGTTTTTCTAAGGCTAAATTTTGCTTTGGAATTTTATGGATTTTTACTTATTCTGTTGCGTATTATATTCTATAATAACCTATACTACAGTGTTTCACCCTCACCACCGAAAACTGCTTTTTTATCACACCCTTGCCTCGCAAAAACGCCAGGGGCCCCTTTTCCACAAGTCACAAAGGAAGCCATTGTAGAGAGGTTCGATTGTGTTCAGAAAATGTTATAAAAAAAGTAAAAGTTACCTTTGGTTCTCCCTGCGATAACTTCAAGAGTTTGAGCAGGCAGTTTTACTCTAGAAAAGCAAGACTTTTCCCCTCTTCAAGAGAACTATAGCTGCTAGGCTAATCTGTGGCTGACAGGTCTTTCCCTCCATGTTTAAGGACGGTGACCACTATTGTTACTGTGCACATTTTCTGCGCATGAAAAGGTAGTCGCGCGCGACGCGAAAGAAATGCGCAACACGCAGGACACGCGGACTGGTTTTGTCTCCTGTAAGTCTGGGAGGTTCTAGTTACCTCTTGTGGAAAAGATGCGTCGTTTTTCAACAGATGAAAAATAATTTCTTTTTGCCTTGTCAGTTCTTTGAAAACCGAAGAAGTATGCGCATGTTGCTATTTCTACGTATGATCGATTTGACTGAACATTTTATAATCAAACAAAAGTCAATTCTAAAATATCAAAAGTTTTGCTTCAAGATGTTATGCTTGGAGCTTGGGTATTAAAGAAATCCCTTAATAGGCACGGATCAGTAAACCAGAAGGAAAATAGCTCTAAGTTCTCCGCGTAATCGAGAAACTGCAAGCTTACCTTTCACACGCGTCCTTCGCGTTTTATCGGCTGATCGGCTATAAACACTTTCCCAAATATTTCTTTAATTTTGTAAGATTTCATGTAATTATTCACCAGAAGATAGATTTAAAGCGTTCGAGTACATACAGATGTCCCTTTTATTGAGAGTCCGAGACTTTTATTTGTTGAACAAACAAGGAAAAACTATCACAAGATTGCTTGGATTGTTGAGATCGCTGCTTCCCGAATAGTTGCGGACCGCAAAGGAAACGCTTTCATCGTTGAAAAAATGGTAAAAAAAATGGTAATGCTTTTTACTATTATCATTGTTTAAGCATTTTGGCATTACTATGTATTGAAATTATTGACTCATTGGCAGCTTGTCGTGTAGATAGTATTTCTTAAGGTTCAATTTCACGCAACACATAATCTGGACATTTAGACACAGCTGCCATTTGGCTGTTTACAAACTGAAGATAGAGGGTAAAATAAAGTATTTCCATTCTAAGACTTTCTTAGGTTTAACAGACACTGTTAAGTCTAAAATTAACATTTAGAAACGAAAAATAGTGAATGATCATGACACAGAATGCTACCGTAAAAAAAATCAAAGCGAAATATATAAAATGATCATTATAGCCCAGTGTATATATGAGGTACATAAGCGCATTCGGTACAACTAACTCTCACACTATTCAGCTTTTTTAAAAGAGAGCTCATGTATGGAACTTGAGTCTATGCAAATCATTTATGTCATATGGCACTTGTGGCAAAGCCCGAAAGAGATAGCGCAAAGCACAGATATAAGCTCATGTATGCAAGTTTATTAATAACATATTCGATCGAGGTACCCGGTAAAATGATAAAAAAAGCTAGGATAGAAGGTTTACAATCCATATTACATCTACAGTTCAAAAAATCTTGAGGACATGTACAGGTAAGCAAACGATTGAAGGAGCTGTACCTGTCTTAGAGTCCCTGTCGACTATTTTCCACTACAGTACAGTAGTTTGTTTACAGCACCAGCCGTGGATCTTGAGCTCGCCATACTACTCTATGTGCGCTGCAAGTAATCTCTAATACCTTGGAGATTGCTCTTCTCCAAAATTTTTGTTAAATGTTTGAGACGGAGAAGCTCCAGTTGAATGAAATAGTATAATTTGTTTTCCTTAGAGTCCATGAAATGTCCTGTTTCACTTTCTGTTTTTGCTCTCCTCCGTGTGTTGTTGTTTTCTCTGACTGTTAGCCATAGTGGATATCCCAGAGTACTCTGCGTTGAGTGAAGCAATAGTGAAACTGACCAGGGAGGGGATGGGGAAAACTGTAAATAACCCCCAAAGCGATTAAGTTGAGGCCGAAACCAACCAATTAACTTCCAAAAACGCGCGGTAACCCCTACTTTTTATCCTACCAAATGAAAGTAATAAGCCTACTCAGCAAACGATCAATTTTTGGTTCGGGGAAAATGTCGTTTACACTATTTTTGAAGCAAACGCGTGGAGAGGGGTAACTGCTGATAAATTCCCAGTTGTGCTGATATTTCAAAAAAAGACGTATAAAGAGCAGTTGTTATGTTATCGTTTGTTACATATTTTGAAACCTTGTTACAATTATCATTGCATTCGTGCCAGTTCACGTGTACAACTTTTCATCATTTTTTAAAAAAAAAGGCCCATTGAGCGTTTTTTTCCATATTGAAGCGCAGTTATCTCTGAAAAATGGGCGTTTATAACCCCCAGTTTTCTTTTTGAAATTGAATAGCCCCTGATATGATATACTTGTCTCACATAGTCATTATCTGGGAAAAAAAATACTTCCCATTTGTGGGCACCGTCCTTAATTGTGTCAAGTTCATAATTCCCCGGATGCACACAATTTTCTTCGATTCTCTTCACAAATCGAAGGATCTCTTTTCAATCTGTGGAGCGACTCGCTTTAAACGAAAGGTAAAGAAAGAGGATAGAGACAGGCCATGGGAATGAGCTGGGTGCATTCAAAGCAACAACATTTATGTTTTACTGAGATCCTCTTTTCTTACAGCAGCTAAATCAGATGCCAGCATAAAGTCAGAAGGAAAAGCAGATAATCGCCTTTAGTGACAAGTCATTCTTGTTTGATGCCCTGAAAGGTGAAGAAAGGAGATATCATGCCAAGCTCCCTGTTTAACCTATTGATAACTATAGACCCTATATGCAACTAAACTTTCGGTCACATTAATCCCTCTGATGAAGGGGAACTGACTCCCGATTATACGCGAATCTTCGCCATTGAATTGAAGTCGGACAACCCGGCACCACCTAACATCTGTCCACTTTCCTTAAATGAAATACAGGTAACTACAACCTTGTCCTACAAAAATGGGAGTCACAAAGGATTAACACCTCTCCTAAGTACACTAAATCTATCAAGAATCCAAAGGCATTCAGGTGCCAGGTCTCTGCTTACCTCATTGCGAATCCCTCATTTTGAATATCTAAATTCAGACATTGAATATTTTCTTTATTTTCATTATATGTCTAGCCGGATTTTTGAAAACGTTACGGCCAAATGGAACTTTTTCCGTCCAACAGTTTTTTTTTTGCCAGTCTACAATGTAGCCATTATAAAAACTAAGAGTGCAACCCGTTGTTTTTTTTCTCTTCTCCTGGTTGGTTTTCAAAAAATCGGCTTGATGTAAAGACTAGTACTGGTCAGCGGTCAGGAGCCAAGATGGACGTTTAATTTTGAGTTCCTGCTTCTATCCTTAATGAGTCATTTTTCTACTGTTAAATATCTTGGCGTCCTATTGGACAGCAATTTAAGCTGGAAATTTCAAATTAATAATGTTCCATGAAAAATAAGCAGAACTGTTGGTGTTAGTTGTAAATTTGATTGTAATATTAATTGTAAGACTATATAATTTGTAACTTTAGCTTGTTTTTCTGTAATTCTTATTTATCCAGATTGTTTAGTTCCTTTACAATATTATCTGTTATGACTGCTGTAACCTTTCCTCGCCGCCCGCCTCGTGTAGCTTTTGCTATTTGCGGGCGGAGATGGCAAAATGATGTTTATGAAAATAAAGTATATTTTGTTGCTATTAGTACTGTAAACATCCATAATTTTATGATAATTATTATAACAGTTTCTTGACATTCATTTTCCTTAACCTTCAGTTGTCCATCTTTATATAACCTATTCTTTTAAGTATTATTATTTGTATTTTTATAAAAAGAGGGAAGAATATCCAGGTACATGCACGAAGTTCTATTAAAGTACGTATGTTATAGCATACTATGACAGTCACCAGCACAAAACAACAACACACACACCTTTGTGGGTGAACAATCTCCAAGTGTTCTAAAGAAAAAAAAAAGTTGAAAAGAAAACAGTAAACGAAATGGCGAGTTAAGTTCTGTTCTGGGAAAAGAACCATTAACTCTTAAAACCGTGTCAGCTGCTGGATAATGATATAACAATGACTACATTTAGATATTTTTAGGAGCAACAATATCACAACTATAATCTGAGGTGCGCTACCCCTTCGAAAAAAGTTTACTTAATGTCGGTTCCAATATGGAATGCTGTTTTAGCCTGTGTTGCGGCACTTTTCAAAGCTGATATTTAAGGAATCTTTCGTCTTGAATGCTAGCCTCCTAGGCTNCACAAAACAACAACACACACACCTTTGTGGGTGAACAATCTCCAAGTGTTCTAAAGAAAAAAAAAAGTTGAAAAGAAAACAGTAAACGAAATGGCGAGTTAAGTTCTGTTCTGGGAAAAGAACCATTAACTCTTAAAACCGTGTCAGCTGCTGGATAATGATATAACAATGACTACATTTAGATATTTTTAGGAGCAACAATATCACAACTATAATCTGAGGTGCGCTACCCCTTCGAAAAAAGTTTACTTAATGTCGGTTCCAATATGGAATGCTGTTTTAGCCTGTGTTGCGGCACTTTTCAAAGCTGATATTTAAGGAATCTTTCGTCTTGAATGCTAGCCTCCTAGGCTGACTTATTTTAGGGTTCGTCACGTTTTCCTCCCACACAAAAGTTTTCTAAAACAGAAAACCACTTCCGCTGGTGGTAAGGAACAAGTTGTAGGAAGCCCAAAGTGAAGAGAGATGTAGAATCACGTTTACGACAAAAGCATATGTAAGGTTCATGTTGACAAGTTCTCCGAACTGGGAAATGAGCAGACTGAAACTGTTTATTTAATTAAAAGAATTCCAGTATTAATAAAACTGTCCTGAAACTTCTTGGTTTGTACAGCTAGCAGAGGGAACTTTTTTGATCCCTCGTGAGGGACCACTGATAACAGGGAACAGATTAACAAACTAAACAATAAGCTAATTAAAGGAAAATCTTGTTCAAATTGAACAAATTACAGTTTACCGAAAACGTGATTCTAAATCTTGTGCGTGGGAGACGGCTACTTGAACGCAGCCAGGATATTTATTTGGCATAAATCAATCAGAAACCAATGATTATGGTTTCCCGCTCCTTAGAATTTACATGTAAATGAATACATTAAATGGCTCTCTTTTCTTGTTCAAGAATACCAAAAACACAGCATGGATTAAACAAGAAGTTGCGTTCTGTCTGTTCTTACATGTATTTTTATTTTTGACCTCCAAATAACGGTCGCTAAAATCCCCGCGCTGAAACCACTACTTCTTAACATTTCTTGGACGCAACAACGATTCGTATTCGCATGACTGAACCCCGGTGAGCTCGGGTGCAAGACTTAAGCAAAAGATATCGATGTTTTCGATGGGACTTAAAAGGCGTACTTGGGTTGGACTGTGTCCTTGCGTCAATACTAAATGACCTCTTACAAGCCTGCAGCTAAAGTATATAATTTCTATTAGTTCATTTAATATGAACAATAATGATTAAACGACCTCGAGCTGGAGCTTGTGGGAAAAAAAGCTAATATTAAAATACTTGGAGTGTATTATAACTTTGTTTGTAGTGTTTTATAAAGACGGGTTGATCATTAGGATGGTAAAAATAAAAATAACTAACTAAGTTGAACTGTACATCCTGTGCGTGTGTAAGCATTGAAACCTTAAAGAGAAGTCAAGTGAGGGACATCCTAACGCAATTTACGTTCGCACGCTTCACGTGTGCCATTGTGCAATTAACAGTTATTTTTAAAAGATAGCTGAGCTGCGGCTTAAAAATAACCATGACTAGAAAAAGAAGTCTATCCTATTTCTTATGTTTATTTACTGTGTTGATTAAGAGCTGACTATAGTTAGACAATTAAAACTATACGTTCACCTGGCTGATCATGCTCAACCTACTTGTGAAATAACTCCTGGGCTCAAACCTACCTTTCACAACCTTTTTTTGTTCAGTGGTTTACGCCTAAACGAAAAACAAAGCACTAGTAACGGCACTCGACATTTGAATATGTCGAACTCCTTTATGGGTTACCATGGAAATCAACGCACATCACTGAACGCAACATCGAATTCAGCACAAAATCATTAATTTAGAAAGGAAGATTGGCTTAGGGGTACAGTGCGCTGCTTTTAAACTGGGGAAACCGGGACTTGAATGCTACTCTGAGCAACAGCAGGATTATCGGTAGCCTCAAACTCGAGGTTTATCGGACTGATGCCACTCTTTCTTTAGCTTCTTATCTCTCTCTTGCCGTTTACGCTTCATTTGCTTAGAAAAAAAATTAAAATAAAATAAAATAATAATAATGGGAAGTATCTCTTTAGCGCGAGTGGTGAAATTTTTGCTTTTTTCGTATGTTCTCCCTTTTAGTTACCTGATGAGAATAAAATGCGATATTCAACTCTCTTTCTATTGAAACCGCCAATCGTCTGTGTCTCTTTACAAAACCAGTCTCATTAGAACTATTAACTTTTCTAGTGGTACGTAATCGAACAGAGTTATGTATCTACATCCTCATAAATAAAGCCGTGAGGATGGGCGAAGCCTTTTCTGATCCACGGTGCGCAAATTAATAACTGTTTCACGATGCAGTACTTACAGAGATTTGTGCTCTATAATTTCCCCGTGAGATATATTTTAGACGACAGTAGGGAGGCATCAAATTTTCTTTCAATTAAAGAAATTGTCTTTTGCCGATGGAGAAGGTGAAAACTCCAGAGTTGTGGCCCCCTAGTGTAATTTATTTTCTACCGCTAAAAGTAATATTTCTGTTGCCACTTATATGGCCCAACGATTTCTTGCCACATCAATTAAAAGTTAATCAGTCTGTTTTCATTAGATTCACTTAAATTTTAGAGAGATGAATAAAGAAATCCTTCTGTGTGCAATTTTATTTCTAGTTTTTCTAACAAAACTGACTCCTTGTGCGACAGACTATGCCAAACATTCGAGGCTTGCGAACGTATTATATTGAAATTGTAATCTCTATGTTCCACGAAATCAAATTCAGCATCGCGAATCATCAGCTTCCCAACACTTTTCTTTCAAATAAAGGAAGCGTTTTGAATGAATTAGTCTTCAGTTTGGTTGAGTGAATATTATTTGGTTTTATTCTTGGTCACTCTAGATCTGAAGCCGGCGTTGTAAGTGCCTTAAAGGTAAATAACTCACTCTTTCACAAGACCAAAACTAGAAAATAAAAATTCAATCGACTTTTTATACAGCATGGTGTTTGTGATAAAAGAACGTAAAAACCTGCAGTGGCGCTCGATGACTTCCTGCGGATGGGCTAGTCTGTCACGTAGGTGGTATAATACGTAATTGTCTAGTAATGATGCCAGTAATATATACTGTACATTGTACGCTTAACTACACTTTGGTAATGAAACAACCCTTAACGCGCGCTTCTTAAGGTGAGTGCTTTAACTTGTCCATAAGATTAAGTCTGGAAAGGATACTCTTCAATTTAACTCAGTTTGCCTTTTAATTAGGGCGATAGATAACTATGGCATAATCTTCAAAGGAAACAAACTACTTGTTACACGTTGTCAATCGTTTGAACTCAAAAACGTTAACTAAGTTACATAGTATGTATACATACTGTGAGAACGTTTAACCATATCAACAGGTGGTGCCTTTGAGCCATCATCGATCGAGACCGCCTGCAATCCATGCTTTTGATAAATTGAGTTACTTTTTTATTTCTTTAGGGAGCTATAAATCTGATCCTACCGCGTGCATTTCTGTAATCTCTATCGATATCTACGACTCCCACCATCATTCTACGTTCCATATCAAAAAGGTCGCAGCTCAGTGTTCTCGTGTACTTTTTATTTTCAGATTTCAGATATGAAGATACCCAAACTCTGCTG